AGAATTAGAAAAAACACTTGATCATGGGTGCAGCCAAGAGCGGGCAAGGGGGCAGCTGCCCCCCTTAGACCAAGTAAAACAATAGAAATACTTCACTAACTGACCAATCACATCAGTTCTCCCCCTCGCACTAACAAAAGTTCTTCCCCCTCTAACAAAAATCCTGGCTATGCCCACGACTTGATAGCCAAACAAACACATCATCTGGAGATCCCTGGTTCAAATCTGCCTCTACTTTACTTCGGCAATGAGATTGCTAAATTGATTTAAGGAAGTCTAGTGACACACACAAATACCTTATAGGTTGGTTGTAGGATTATTGAGTTAATTCATACTGGAGTGTTCAAAACTACTATATGTATTCAATGTTATTAATCTACAGTGCAATGCTGTACATGCCTATTCAGAAGTTAGCCCCATTGAGTTCAGCAGGGCTTCCCCCCCATGAGCTGCAGAGAATGTGAAAACAGCAGTCAAATCTATAGAGCCACTTAAACAAGCCTGCCCTCTTCGCTGAGCTTTAACCACACTGAGCCGACAGGTGGTCCAGCTCAAAATAAACTTCACTGGGCATCCTTCATGCTTCTCAGCTTCTCCCACTGCCCAGAATGAACTATGCACATTGGCTATTCAGATGGCTGGGTCGGTAACTTTCGATGATGGCGAGTGACAACAAATGAACATTCCCTCCCCCATGTTGAGGTCCTTGCTGGTATTGACAGGGCATTGAAGCAAAGAAATGGCACAGCTGGAGGGTTGCTTGGTTGGCACTGTTAGGGCACTGAAGTGAGAGAGCTGTCACTGTTGGGGCTCTAGCTATTCCTAATAAGCCATGGTTGAAAGACTGCTTATGTCTCCGAAGCTTCAGATTCCTTCTGCCTTCAAATCAAGGTAACTGCTAGGCACCTGCTGCCATATACAGCTGCCTTTATACCAAGACAGACCATTAGTCCACGTAGCTCCATTTTTTTCTACACTAACTGGCAATAGATCTCTAGGATTTCAGACTGAGAACATTTCTAGCCCTGCTTGGATATGCTGGGGGTAGAAGTTGGGACCTTCCACTTGCAAAACAGATGCTCTGTCACTCAGCTGAAGTCCATGAAAAGTCAGAGGGAATCACACTATTTTTGAATTCTTTGTTTTTGCTACTGTGTGGAAGAAAGAGGGGAGAAATGGTTTTGTTCACAGAAGAGTCCAGCCCAAGACTTCTAATTCAAGGTGTTGTAGCTGTCACTAGCCAGAAAGATGCTCCAGGAACATCAGGCATGATTGAGGTTGCCTTCACCTCTTCACCTCCCAGATATTTTATCACCAGAAATATGCTGCCCTAGACTATAGAGGCAGAATTCTCTGCTATGGTTTCAGGAGAATTCTCCTTGCCCTGCTTTAAAGCTGAATCTAGCAGGTTCACACCTTTTCCAAAACAATAGAAGAACCAAAGCACAAACATTCACATTTATCACAATTTGAATTTGCAGTTCTCCAACCAAAGTTTACAAAAACTCATATATTTGGTAAAAGTGTACTTGAAAATCACTATGTTGCTGAAAATAACATGCAAAATTGCACTATATTTGAATGTGCATATTAGCATTGCTGTTGGCATCTGTCTGTCTCAAGAGACAATAGAAACTGCCTGGGGGAGGGAGTCAAACCTCTGGAGAATCACAGCGTCTGCTGTGGCTGCAGAGACCATTAACTTGTAACTGCTGCCTCCTGCAATGCTTTTGCTGCATTAAGCAGCAGTAAAGTGACCTCTTCGGGGTGCAAGTGTGGACAGTGTGTATGGAGGTTCTACACTGCCCAGGCAAGACCCCATTCTTAGCCTCACTGATGTGGTCCAAAGGAAAGGGAGCTGTTTCAAGAGGCAGAACTGTGAGGGGAATGGGACTTTGTGCTGACCATTAGGTAACGGCTTTTTCCACCTGCCTTACCCCACCTTCCAGCCCTAGGAGCTTTCCGAAAGACAGTTCTGCAGATTGATATGGTCAAATCATAAAATCATAAAGTTGGAAGGGACCCAAGGGTCATCTAGTCCAACCCCCTGCAATGCAGGATTCTCAGCTAAAGCATCCATGACAGATGGCCATCCGACCTCTGCTTAAAAACCTCCAAGGAAGGAGAGTCCACCACTTCCCAAGGAAAACTGTTCCATTGTCGAACAGCTCTTACAATCGGAAAGCATTTCTGTATGGGCATATATTTGTTTTTTCCATAATAATTTCTATTAAGTTTCCAATTTTACATTTTAAAAAAACCCACCAAAAACATTTTACAAACTTTAAAATATCCAGTGACTTCCCTTCTTCTCCTTCCATGGTTCATTTTGCATATCATACATTCCTGCATATTTTACTATAACCATTCAAATCAGTTTTCTACTTTTACATCAATCAAATATTATTTACACTGTTGAGTTTATCTTAATGCTGCCAGCGTTTTCAGCTGTATACAGTTATTTTCCATAGATTCAATAAATGTTTTCCACTCTTCTTTAAATATATGTTCTTCTTGCTCTCTTATTCTGTGTGTTAAATCTACAAGTTCTGCATATTCTGTCAGCATAAGTTGCTAATCCTCTTTAGCTGGGACCTCTCTCTCTTTCCTTTTGGGGGCTAACCAAACACAAGCCACAGTTGTTACATACATAAATAACCTTTTCTGACACCTGGGAATTTCTGCCTGGGTTATTCCCAATAAAATGGACTCTGGGTTTTTTGGGGAAAGTACTTTTAAACATCACTTTTATTTTTTATCTATGTCATTTTAAATTGTGATTGATATTAATGCTGTATTCTTAGTTTTAGATTTTATGATTTATGTGGAAATTGTTTTCTGTTTGGTTGTGTACTTCTTGATGTGTTTTATTTATTGTTTATGACTTTTGTTATGTTGGTAATTATGTAAATCTTGTCATGTAAGCCACCTTGAGCAATGTTTTAACTATGGAAAGGCAGCATATAAATAAAATGATGATGATGAAACATTTTTTCAACTCATCACAAATCATTTCCCAATATACTTTTATTTTTTACATGTCTACCACATATAAAAAAGGTTCCCTCTGCTTCTTTACACTTCCAATGTGTATCTGATTCTGTTTTATAGATCTTAGGCAACCTAAATTAAATACCTAAGTTAAATACCATCTATGGATCATTTTTAAATAATTCTCTTTCAGTGAATAACATACAGTAAATTTCAGGTTACTTTTCCAAAGTTTCTCCCAGAGGTTGCAATCTATATTGTGTGCTATATCTATTGCCCAGTGTGCCATTAAAGCTTTAACAAGCTCGTCTTTTGTTGCCCTTTCTAAATTTTTAAAATACATTTTTGACAGAAGTTTATCCTTATTTTGTAAAAGTTCTTTTTCAAAATACGAGCTTTGGTCTAAAAACCCATTATATTTATTTAATTTAAACATATTCTGTATCTGGTGATATTGCAAGCAATCCGTAACTTGGCTCCTTAAGTTTTCCATTAGTTTCAGTTTGGGTTCCTTCCCCTGTAAAATCCAGCAGTTCGCTGTAATTCGCCCATTGTCTATCCATATTAACTCTCTTAATTGTAATTGCTTCGATGGGAGATAGCCACAACACCTTTCCAGCAGATTTTTATACTTTCCCCAGACTCTATACAGATTCTTCCTAAGAATGTGGTTCATAAAGCTCTTGTAAATTTAAGCCTTTCTATACCAAAGACATGCATGCCAGCCAAATTTTAAATCATGGCCTTCTAAATCTGCATGGGCATATATGTGGTAAGGTAGGTGAAGGTAAGGTAAAGGACTATGGGGTATGGCGCTCATCTCGCTTTCAGGCCGAGGGAGCTGATGTTTGTCCACAGACAGCTTTCCGGTCATGTGGCCAGCATGACTAAACCACTTCTGGTGCACAGAAACACTGTGACAGAAGCCAGAGCACAAAGAAACACCATTTACCTTCCTGCCACAGTGGTACCTATTTATCTACTTGCACTGGTTTGCTTGTGAACTGCTAGGGTGACAGAAGCAATGAGAGCTCACCCCATCGCACAGATTCAAACTGCCAACCTTCTGATCAGCAAGCCCATATATGTATGGGCATACATGTGGTAAGGCGATCCCACAAGTAACCTGGTTCCAAGCTGCTAAAGGGTTTATATATTACTACTAATAAAACTAAGATCATGGCCACTGGTCCTATCACCTCCTAGCAAATAGAAAGGGAAGAAATGGAGGCAGTGAGAGATTTTACTTTCCTGGGCTCCATGATCACTGCAGACAGTGACAGCAGTCAAGAAATTAAAGACACCTGCTTCTTGGGAGAAAAGCAATGACAAACCTAGACAGCATCTTAAAAAGCAGAGATATTACCTTGCCAACAAAGGTCCGTATGGTTAAAGCTATGGTTTTCCCAGTAGTGATGTATGGAAGTGAGAGCTGGACTATAAAGAAGGCTGATCGCTGAAGAATTGATGCTTTTGAATTATGGTGCTGGAGGAGACTCTTGAAAGTCCCATGGACTGCAAGAAGATCAAACCTATCCATTCTGAAGGAAATCAGCCCTGAGTGCTCACTAGAAGGACAGATCCTGAAGCTGAGGCACCAGTACTCTGGCCACCTCATAAGAAGAGAAAACTCCCTGGTGAGAGAAAACCTGATGTTGGGAAAGATTGAGGGCACAAGGAGAAGGGGACGACAGAGGACGAGATGTTGGACAGTGTTCTCAAAACTACCAACATGAGTTAGACCAAACTGCGGGAGGCAGTGGAAGACAGGAGTGCCTGGCGTGCTCTGGTCCAGGGGGTCGCGAAGAGTCGGACACGACTAAACGACTAAACAACAACAACTAATAATGTAGTTAATAAGCCTACAGCAAAATGTGTACACATTGTCTAACGACAAGTAGAGGGTGCGGTTCTTCTTCCCTTCAGAAATAGCATTTTAGTCATGCAGATTATGCAGATGGAGTAGATTGCTTAAAAGCTGAAGATGCAATTACATGGCTAGGATTGGGGAAGGGCTGTAGCTCATTGATAGAACATCTGCTTTGCATGCAGAAAGTCCCTGGTTCAATCCCAGCATCTTCAGATAGGACTTGGGGCCTGCCTGGAATCCTGGAGAGCCACTGCTAGCCAGTGTAGACAATGGGCTTCTAGATGGACTAGCGACCCAGCTTCATTTAAGCCAGCTTCCTGTGTTCCTAAGGGAACTGTCACTTTAATTAGGGAACTTTCATTAGGTGACAACTGGAAAGGGGTCTGTTTTGACTATGGCAACATTGCTTGGAAGAGTCCATTGTATTGACTTTGTGTCTAAGGGTTGAGAGAACTGCCATATTCTGATGGTGAGCACCTTACGGATCATTTTCACGAAATCTGACAGCTCGCTATTTATGGATCTGTCAAACCATCCATCTATGTTGCCAGTCTCCCAAAGAGAAACTGACCTTCAGCCTGTCGGCATCACCAACCTAGGCAGGCAGTCCACAGGTGTCAGCCAACCGTAAGCAGGGGATGGAGAACATATTTGTCCCTTAAATGTGTGAGTGTGTCTCCCTCCATTTGATAATGTAAATAAAGCCTTTTAAAAAGTCCACTGTTTTCATCTGCAGTTCTGAGTTGCCTGGGGGGTTCCCTTGGTGGTTGTGTTGGCACATAATAATAAAATATCTTCTTTTAAAAATTGAAAAGACAGTGAGTCCTTTTCAAAGCGTTGCTTTGAATGCTGCTCCCTTACTGTTTTTGCAGAATAAAATGAAATGAAATCCAAGGCCCTTGTCAGTGTTAGATCCTCCGTTTGCCATTTGAAAGTCTAATAAGGAAGAGCATCGGCTTTCTTCTTTCTCAAGATGGTGGTCCCAGGATCATGCGACTCAGCCAGCATCGGTGTGGTGGGGCGTATATGTGCTGAAAGCAAGGAGGGCAGTGAATTTTGCAGGAAATGCTCCTGCAGCGTCTTGAGGAGTTTGGTGATTCAGCTGTGAAACATTGGAGCTTTTCTTCCTTTTCTCACTGGCTCCTAGCTGCCTTTTCAAAGATGTGCTTCACTCGCTAGAAAATCGCTTTGGTCCTTTTCATGTTGGAAGCCTTTGTTGTTTGGTGTTTTTTTCCCCCCTTCAGCCTCTGGCTGGCAGCATCCTTCTCACTTTGGAGTTCACCCCACAAGCTGGCCAAGGTCTATCATGTGCTTCTTCACAGGGGCTCCTATGGGATTCTTACAAAGGGCTGTGCCCAGCTTAGTTCTGTTCAGGGTAAACTCACTGAAATTAATTAGAGGCATTTTGCTCAGGGTAGAGCTACTGAAATTACTAAACCTAACCTGATCATTACGGTAATTTCAACAGGTCTACTCTGAGCAAAACTTACTTGAATACTACGCTTTGGATCAAAGTTCATTATTTTCAGTGGGTCAACTTTGAGTAACACTAGCTGTCTCATCAAATGATGCTGCACTTCAAAAATCAGACAGGACAGATCTATCAATTTCACTTTCTCATTTTCCAGTCTTGATTCAGTTCAGGGGTGGGGGAGAAATTTGAATCAGTTTGCATTTATAGGCAAAACTACCCAGTTCACACATTCCAAAACAATACGTGGACAGAAACACAACCCGCCTTCAAAATTCACATGCCTCTGAATTTTCAGCCAAGTAATATGTAACAAAAATACTTACACTAGGTTAAAGTGTGCATGTATTGGTGGAAACAACATACACAAATGCATGGGGGGAATTGAATTGCAAAAAATATATATCAGGCAAAATTGCACACCAAAATGTTTTTGGTATGAGGTTGCCAAAGGGGGCTGGGGGTGGCAGACAGACAGAAAGGCAGCAACATGGGGGCGCTTGTGTCCATTCCAGATTTTAGTTAGAAAAAGTTGGAGAGTATGCCAACACATTTTTATATGCAGTTTTGACTAACATTCATATTTTTTCAAGTTCCCCAAATATAATGTATTTCTGTGTTATCTTCACACATATACGCATATTATTTAGCTATGTACGGTATTTCAATTTGTATGCTGCTTTTTCATATAAATAAACCAAAGCAGTTCAAAGTTCAATACAAATGCAAATTAATACAGCATTTGCAAACATAATATGGCAATCAAAAATCATTCATTTTCACAATATAAATATTATAAAATAATTTGTTATAGCATAAGCTATTTATGCATACTTTCCCCTAAGATATTTCCAAATGGCGTTTCCAGGGATTCCAGGTGCTTCCCCAGGGTTTGTGCTTCATTGGAATGAAGTACAGAAGGGACTGTGGTGTCTTCATAATTTATGGTTATGTTACACATACTTGAGCCTATGATGGAGGAGCTCACAGCATAAACACCCCAAGAGGGTCTTGCTTCCACCATAGCTACAGCCTTGGATTCATACAGAAATCAGGTATGGTTCTCTCACTCTGTCTTCCCAGCCTGAAACTTCTTTTCAAGCTTCCAGTTCATATGACTGAACTTTCTACTTGTATCTGAAGAACTGTGCATGCACACAAAAGCTCATACCAATAGCAAACTTAGTTGGTCTCTAAGGTGCTACTGGAAGGATTTTTTTTATTTTATTTTGTTTCGACTGAAGAAGTGCGCATGCAAATGAAAGCTTATACCAAGAACAAGCTTAGTTGGTCTCTAAGGTGCTATTTTTTTAAAAAAAAATAAATTATATATATTTCGACTGCATCAGACCAACACGGCTACTTACCTGAATCTACCTTCCAGTGAGTTGAGGGTGGGTGTCCCACCCATTTTCTATCTTTCACAGAGCTACTTCTTTTGTTAACTTAATGGCCCATACTTAGAGGGCCATTACCTCACCAGGAAGATAGCCTGGCTAGTCCAAGAATTTGAATCCTTGCCTAGATTTTAACCATTGATGGTCCAGTGATTGGAAGAGGGCCCAGGCATACAGCCTCCCCCTCCCCCACACTGCTGCAAACTCAGAACAATATCTATACAGTAATCCCACATTTTAGGTGGGGGTTCAGCTCCATAGATCCTTAGCACTCCCAAATCCAGCATGTTAAATGGACCTTGCCCAGTAAGCAAGGTGGAGATCTTAAAAATGCTTTCAGTGCTGGGTAACCCAAGTGGACTTGGCGTGGGAATAGCTTTTGAGCCTTTTACCTTGTTTGTGGTCTACTAAGACCCCTATATCCTTTTAACATGTACTGCTAGTAAATCAGGTGTCCTCCATCTTATGTTTGTACATTCAGTCCTGCCTCCGAGTCTGATCCTGGCCAGAAAGATACAGGTATCAACAAGGGTGTCCCACGTGACCTTAAAGTGATGTTGTGCAATGCCAGGTCAATGACCAACAAGACCAATGCCATCTATGGATCGAGGAATTGACCTGGCATGTGTAACAGAGATGTGGTTGGACACAGCAGCTGGGCCTGTTCTTGCCACTTCTTGTCCACCAACTTTCTCTTACACACAGCAGCACAGGTCATGTGGATGGGGAAGGGGTTGCAGTGGTTTTTAAGAAGTCCTTTGTTTTCACCAGATGTCCTGTTAGGGAGATCCAGCTCTCTGAGTGCAAGTTCTGGAAATTGGGCAACAGGGGCAGTACAGGATTCCTATTGGTGTACCAGCCTCTCTACTGCACCAAGGATTCACTGCTTAAGTTGCTTCAGGTCAGGTCAAATGTTCTCCTAGAGACACCTAGTCTGGTGGTCCTCGAGCATCCCCCCCCCATTATTTATTTATTTATTTATTTATTTTGTTTTAACAAAGTAATAATCATAATTAAATAAGAATAAACATGTGTACCCCACCACCGAGACCATTCCATTGTATCTATTCAACCTCCCAAAATTTCAACACCTCTTGTCATGGTTTGACCCCTTTCCATTTTAATAGTACAAATTCTACAAACACCCTCCATATCGACTCGAAATCATTTCTCCTGCATATTCCTTGTCTTACCTTAATGGCACATGTTAAATTATCGTTAATAGCTTCCATTTTATATTCTGCTTGCCCCTTCCACTTCTTGGCTATAATAATTCGTACAGCTGCCAATAAATTTGTGAGGAAGTCCTTCATAGCCTGTGAACCTTCTACCCCATCGTAAATTGATAATAATGTTACTTCTGGACTTAAGATCAACTTTAACCCAGTGATTTCTGTTATCTCCTTAAACACCCTTTGTCCCCCCAAAATGTACATATTTACACCCCCACCACATGTGAACATAATTCCCTGTTTCCTGGCATCCCCTCCAACATAACACCGAATATTCCTTGTTTATTTGATTTAATCTGACTGGTGTTAAATACCATCTCCAAATTAATTTATAATAATTTTATTTTATTCTTATAGACAACATTTTCAAAATATGTTTCTCCCATATTTCCCCCCAGCTTTGACTATCTATTTGCCCTGTTGTCTCCTTTTCCCACACCTCTTATAATTGATCTTCTTGATCCTCCATTTCTAGTAATATTTTATAAATCTCACTGGTTTCCCCTTTTATAACTGTATTTTCTTCTTTATCTCCCCTTTATATAATTTTTTCCCCAAATTTTGTATATTCTTTGCAGTTCTTGTTTTTCCTTAACCACTTCTTTGTCCATTGTTCCAGTTGTATACAGTTAAACCAAGTTATTTTACTTTCTATTAGAGCTTTGTCCTAGAGCATTTTAACATCCATGCCAACATTACCTTACAAGGAGCCACTCGGGACTTGATGATAAGCATGGCATCCATGGTGCTGTCCCTGAATAAACCTGGCCCTACTCATAGCCATGGGCATGCCTTAGATCTGGTGTTTACCTCTGTGGATGTGGGTGATCTGACACTAAGTTCCAGTGGAACAAAAGAAGTTCCATGGTTGGATCACTTCCTGGTGCTCATAAAAGCAAGCCAGACAGGGCTGAGCAGTGGGCTCCATGGGGTGATAAATGTTTTCCTCTATGTGAGAGTCTTCCCAGAACTGCTTAAAAATCCATCTCTGGATCCAGCCACTATGGTCAATTATCACTCAGTCTCAAATATTCCATTCCTGGGCAAGGTGATTGAGCAGGTGGTTGTGGAACTCCAAGCATGTCTGGAGGATCTGTATGTTTAGTCCTCTT